AAATAATTAATGGTTCGTTGTTATTTGAAAATAATAAGAAAAAAATATGTATATTCAAATGCTCTACAAGAATGAGTTTTAAAAGGAAAGTTATATATAGATGAGAGAGATGCGTTTATTATTACCTTATTCTAAACTAAAGAAAACTTTGTGGTAATTTTCTTTTTTCCTTAGCAAACTTTTCCGAACTTAAGTGTTTATTAATGACTAATAATAATAATAAAAATTCGGAGTTTTATTCCCGAGTGGATTATGCGTAAGTATTGTAAAAATAAATAAAAAAACAGAGTCAGACATCGTGATCTGGGAAATTTTATCATTTACAGATACCAAAAGAAAGTATATCCAGAACTAGATAAAGAAAAGATTACCAGGTGTATGCAAATGAAATGAGACGATTGTTTTAAAAAAACACACAATAAATTTGCAAAAACTGTTAATATTTCTTTATTTGAAATAATATCCATCGCTAGCTACACATTTTCCTCATCTTTCGGGCAATTTGTGAATACCACGCCAAAAAAATGATCGTTCTTTTGAGGCCAGCCAGTCATCAAGCCAAGATTTGACGTTTTCATAAGAAGTGAAGCGCTGGTCAGCCAATTCGTGTCCCAATGATGCAAACAGGTTGTAATCGGAAGGAGACAAGTCTGGCGAATAAGCCGCATGCGCTAAGGTCTCCCAGCCGAGTGCCTTAACGATGTCCTTGGTCGGTTTAGCACGGTGGCTAGGTGCGTTGTCATCAAGGAAAATCACTTTGTGCTGCCGTTTCTTGTATTGCTTGCGTTTTTCGAGTATAGCATCGTTCAAATTAAGTAATTGTTGCTTGTAGCGATAAGTATTAACGATTTCGTCGGGTTTGAGAAGCTCATAATAGATTGGTCCCTCCTGATCCCAGAAAATACACAGCATTGTCTTGCGGCCGAAGCGATTCGGCCTTGTGGTCGATTTGGACGGCTGTCCGGGGTCAACATATGATCGATTACGCTTGGGGTTCTCAAAATAAATATATTTTTTCATCACCAGTCACACTACGATGGAGATATGACTTGAGTTTGTCGCGGGAAAGCAACATTTCGCTCACAATTTTTCGGTTTTCCTGTTGACGGTCCGTTAGCTCGTGTGGTACCCATGTACCGACCTTTATTATCTTGCCCATTACTTTGAGACGACTGGAAACAGTGCTCTGGTCAACATTCAATTGTTCTGCAAGATGTTCTTGCGTTTGGCCATCATCTTCATCAAGTAATGCTTGCAATTCAGCATCTTCAAATTGTTTTGCTGGTCTGCCACGCTCCTCGTTTCTCACATCGAAATCACCATTTTGAAACTTTTCAAACCACCTGTAGCACTGCGCACGGCTCAAAGCATTGCCACCGTATGCTTCTACAAGCATTTGATGCGAGTCGGCAGCATTTTTCTTCAGATGGTAACAAAACATTAATGCTGTCCTCAAATCGTGGTCGGAAAGCATAAAATTCGACATTTTCAACACAGTAAAAAAAATACAATGCACCCTGAAACTCGTCCAAATGTAAACTAAACATGAGTATCAAAAGTCAAACTATAAAAAAATCACGTATCATGGTTTCGTATTGTTTGCATATATGCGTGGCGACATCTGTTAGCAATCGTCTCATTCGATATGCATACACCTGTTAAATATAATTAGGCGTAGTAATTCCTTTTTATGCATCCAGTTTTGTTAAGAAAACACTAAAAAATCGCTAAAACGTTGAATATATATATATAAATCTGAAACGAAAATACTTAAGATTCAACAATTTACAAAAGCTAATTCTTATTTCATTATAAATTGTACTAAAATCTTGTTGCAAATTCTTTCGATTTTCTCATAAGAGGAATGATTCATAAAGATGACTTTGCATCATTATTTTTTACCTGTCTCGTTTCTTTGGTTTTCATAATATTTAAAATTTCTGTCATTTTCCCAATAGAATAAGTTTGAAATATTTTTTTTAAAAACTATTTAGTTATATCTTTTTTATTTTTATTCTTAGTTTAGTCTTGATGGAGAAGGATAATCTTCAATTTAAATTTTTATAAATCTTAATTCGAACTGTTTCGAAGATTAACTGCTCATAAGTAGAAAAGTCGAATTCCCTTTTGATTTTAAAAGTTTAACTCAATTTAGTTTATCGTCGAAATCGTAGAAAATTGAAAAGAAAAGAAAAAACAACGTGAAACTTTCGAATACAATAAATGACTTAGATCTCGTAACAACTGGATAATAATCGTCAAAAAATTATACCGATGCCCATGTCTCTCTGGAGAATGCCTATAAATATCTAAGTTAAATAATTTAATATAAGTGAGCAAATTTGACAGGGTCTTCAATCTAAAAGATATATTTTCAACAAACGATTTTTATTTAAAGTAATTGGGGAAAAATAATTCTTGTATTTTTATAGTTTTATTGTATTAAATTAACTATGGCCTTATTTCTTTAAAAAAATGTATTAAAAAACTTATAAATGCCTTTAACGTAAATTTCAGAATAAAGTTAAAGTAAAATTGGTATCTTTAAAGTTTATTAGTTTTAATTATATTGTGCGAATTTCGAATATTTTGTTGTATTGTTTGCATCTCATTTTTTTGATACTTATATATGAGGAAATCGACTCTCACACACATATCATCATGAGTTCTCTGTTACTATTAGATCGACAGACTTGAAACTAGGTAGTCTTGTTTCTTTTGCTTAGTAAAGATCTAGCAAGAAGGAATTTTTGAGAAATCGATTCCCAAAAGGTGGTTACAAAAGTGTAGACGATAATTAATACATATGGAGGAAAAGCGATTCACAAAATCTTCGGAAACTATTTGAATTGCAAACAAAAAAGATGTAACGCGTTTTTTTAAGTAGAAATATACTAATGGTTTTGCAGAAATCGTGTCCCACAGTGATGAAAAAGTTAATATTAGATAGTTTTTATAGATGGACAGACAGATCAACCCGAGAAATTCAGCTATAGTTGCTTCATTTAGCTATTTTATTTACTAAAACGTTCGTTACAGGAATAATAATTTGCCATTAACTTAGTTATCCAAAATATTAAATTCTGACCTCATTAGAGGCAAACATTTATTTACAAAGAAATTTTTTTATACTATTAATGAGGGAATGGCCTGCAATCATTTTTATACTAATTTCAAAATAACCCAGTTTCTAACTGGTCGTGGTAACTTTATACATATATAAAAGATACTTCAATAAATTTAATTTAGTTCCGTCATCTTCTTGTGATTGTGATATTGGTGGCGAGGAAAACGTAGAACATATGCTCCTTCTGTATTCCAAGTGTGTGAGAGAACGAAACTGGCTTTTAAGAAACTTAATATAAATTGGCCTCCGGATCTTCAGCAACTTCTTTTCACTAGAAATGCTTTTAAGAAGTTCCGTGAATTTGTTATAAATATTTGTAATTCTTCATAACCTCGAAGTATTTTGTTTTACTCCTTTATAATGTGTAATTAATGCTTACTTCTGTGAGCCCCGTGTGATACTTTATGGTACACGGGGATTTTATAATCGTTTTCAATAAAAAAAGAGATTTTACTTTTACAATTCGATGCCTATAATTTTAATCAAATATACGAAGAACGGGTGTTGTATCAGTTAGCTTAAAATACATTTTTAACAATGTAAAAATACTAAACGTAAAAAAAAATGTTAAATTGTAAAATCTAAATGAATTACATTCAAAACGTATGTTAAATAAAACTCCGTTTACAAATTAAAATATACTTTTCCAGAGTTATTTTGTTAGAATATGATTTTTTTTTATTCCAAAAAGCAAATGTACATACTCTTCAGGTATTTTATTTTCATTAAATTACCAATCATTCGAATGATGTATGATTTACCTTTTTCCATGTAATTTTTTGCTGGGAAGAAAACTGTTATATAAACGCTTATATCACGTATAAAGAGAAATGGTCGTAATTCTTAATCTTTTAAGTTATATTGAACTAATAACTGAGCAATAACGATTTTGTTAATAGGGTTTACTAATAATTACCTCACTAATTGCTTGTTCCGGTGCCATTGGTGGTCTTTGACGAATTTAGACAAATGTTTAAGTCGAAAAATATGTGTAACAATTGCCCTTAGCAATTAATTATCAAACAGATTGTGTGTGTGTGTTATAGCTTGAAAAATCTTTGGCAATTAATCTCAGGTATATAGTTAATATTTGGCAATAAAAGATGGCACGGAGAAGCACTCTTATTCCCGTTGAAGGCATTAAATGCTTAAAGAAATTTTCCATTAATAATAATTAAAAATTGTGCATTTAATTTTAATTCAGAAAATGCAGTCTGTTGCAGAAAACTTCTGATTTAGGTCATTTAATGTGTTTAACTGAAAAGGAAATGATACAGTGATATACGAAACAGACATATCTATTAAGTGTTGATGTATATTTTTCAATTCGAACTCTCTCTCCTTATATATGTATATATATATGACAGGCCCCAGGCCTGCTGGTAAAATGAGGAATCATCATCTTTATTTCGCTTCAATCACGTAAAATCCAACATGGCGGCCCTTTGGCGCGCAACCGAGTAGAACATTAACAACCAATTCGACCAGGAGTCACCAGCTAAGCCTTTTCGACTATGCATTCTTCTTCGTCAGCGCTCGCTCCACCTTTAAATAGGCTTATTTACCCACAAATCCTTACGCGATGGTAAAGAGTTCGCTCTATTTTTATTTATTACTTACTTAATTTTAAACCTAAACTTTTCAAACCTGATATATATATATATATATCGTTCAAATTTTCAATCGATAATAAAATACTTTCTATTCATCCCTTCAAGTTCAAATACATTTTTTTAAACTTGAGTGAATGACACTTAATGCTAATACAGTTTTTTCAAATATTAATTCATTATTTAAATTAAAAAATGAATAAATAGTAACAAAGAAAAATAGCAGTCCAACACCATATATAAAGAGGAAAATCGCTCGTCGTGTCTTTGCAGCGCAATGGATAGCGCGTTGAACTTCTAATCCAAAGGCAGTGGGTTCAAAACCCACGTGGGATGACCTAATTTCTGAGAATGTGATGTCTTTTTTACTATGCTATTCTATTATAATAATTAAATTTGATGAATGAATAAATAGTAACACAAAAAAATAGTGTAACACCCTATATAGAAAAGAAAATGGCTAGGAAAATCACTTTCTATTTTGTCACTCAAAATTGGGATTATGTCATATGTACATATACATATTTATATTAATTGTAACTATTTAATAAAAAAGTAACTAAAATAACATTTTTCTTTGTTGACCTAAGCAGGAATTGACTTATTTTTTTTTTTTATTTTACTTGTTTGTTTAATGAAAATCAAAAGTTATCTTTAAAAGGAATAAAAGTTGACTTCTATGAAATTCTTTTGAGAGCGCGTTTTAATAAATGATTTTTTAAAGTGACGCAGACATATTTTTGAACACATTTGTGTCGGATGTTTTAGGCGAGAGAGAATATATTTTGTACATTTTTCTAAAATGATAAAATGCTTTTCTAGAAAATTTAACCCAGAATAATTGATTTAGAATACTAAATAATAAAGAATCATTCATAATTTTGGGTATTTATTTTGGATACTTATGAGACGGGGTTATATTACAGAAATAAATCCCGCACAGCAGATAATTTAAAGTTTATAAAATGATGAACAGTGGCAACATTTCATTTTGAAGTGTCATTTGAAATACCTTAAAATCCGGAGTATAATGCGCACTTTTAAAGCAAAAAATACGATCAAAATTTAAGGGTGCGCGTAATAAATACAACGTGTATAAAATGAAAGATTAAAAAATAAAAAGAAGATGAGCATAGAAAAATTAGACTTCTGCATGTATCGAAATACTGTTTATTTTAAAGAAATGAGATATTCCTAATAAACTTAAAAGGTTGTAGTTTTAAAAGTATATTATTTTTTTTTCTAAATCTTGGAATAATACTTAGATTAAATGATTTTAAAACATAAGAGCATTGCGCACGCACGTTCCAGATTCCTTCGTAAAGAAGGGGTACGCATTATACGGCGAATATGCCTAAAAATTAAACATTGCAGCTTGAAAGTATAGGTGCGCGCTATACGCCAGATTTTATGGTAAATGTTAACTTATTTCTTTCTTCGTTATTTTGAGAAGAGAAGTATATCAATATCAATAAAATTATCATAAACGAAATTGACTATAATCGCATAAATAACTCTGACTGTGCTATTCAACAAACTTATGAAACCTATTGCAGGAAACGATTTTCTTTGTAGTGAGATAGATATTTTGAAAATTTTTTGAAGATTTAATGGTTAATTTTTTTACCATTTTATGTCATTAAGTGCTTTATTTTTTCAAATTCGGACATATTTCAGAAAAACTAGAATGTTCATAATTTAGACCAATTCTTCATGCTGAAAAATTATTAATGCTTGGTAGGTCACTTAAGTCTAGTTTTTACGGTCATAGACTCATGGTCGGTGTATCATGAGTTCAAACCCCAGCGCCACTGAAGACCCTCCAGGTGGAAGCATTGATGTACTTTACATCTGTCAAGACTGTCTTTCCGTTGAATCGGTGTGGAAGCTTGGATAGAGGAGTGCCGGCTCAGATGTCATCGTCATTTTCCGAGGTTCAAAATTGCAAGGTCCGTCCCAAACAGCCCTCATATTGTTTTATAGTGTGACGTTGATTAATACTCACTGATTTAAATACTTGGTAAGCAATATGAATTTCAGACAATATTGGACGGGATAAACAAGATATGGATAAGAATATATAATAAATAGACAAGAGATTGTGTGTGCTTTTAATGATAAAAAATTTAACTGAAAATAAAATGGCTGATATTTTTAATCTTTCATTGTAACGGCATTGCAATGTACATCTGACGAGACAAGTAGTGTTAAGCCTATTTTTTCATTATTGAGAAATATTTAATCTTTTTAAAAATATTACTTGTAAAAACAACTTAAAATTTTCTAAAAAAGACAAAACATTCTTGAAATAAAAGAGAAAATACAATGAAGAAACATTTAATAATTTTAATCGCGGAAGCAGCTGAGAACGAATGAAATCAATACCAGAACACTCTTTCTCTTAATCCCTGAAAGAGAGTATTGGAAACAAACAGAATATTTCGGAATTGTACCTAAGGGAGAAAAGCGAAAATGGGGTGCTAAGGTGTCGGATCGATTAGCAAAGCATTGCTTTTCCAAGTCAATTGAAATGCGACGTGTTACTCTGATAACCCGTTTTTAGCTCCGAGTTCCTCTTTTTCTTAAACTGTTGATCAAAATGTTACTTTTAGGATATAGAGAAACGATTTAAAAGAGAGAATTCATTTTATGGTCATGACAAAAAAAATTGTCAGTTTTAGGATGAAGAATCTAAGAACAACATTAACTAGTTTAAAAAGTAATGCTCTAAATTAAAATTTTTGAAATATTTGAATGTACAACTTAATGAGTTTCTACATTTATAAATTCTAATATTCAGAAACATATTGTTAATCCTATGGAATTTGGAATGTCTTTTTGGTACTTTTCCGTTTCGCCGGTCCAAGTGATAAAGTCGCCAAAAAGGATACAACCGATTCCAAACTGAATATTCCCGCTGGTAGCCTTTTACCATCCCGTCTTCAAAAGAAGTCGCGGTCTCTCTCTTTACTTATCAGTAACATCTTTTTCAAAATTCATCAAAAATAGAGAAAAAACCAAAGAGAACTAACATTTGTATGTATGTGTGTGTGTATTGTGTTATTGTTGCCCATAAAGCCTGCTTGGCGAGATTTGCGCCGGCGAAAAGGAAAAGTACCGCCTTTTTTTTGTGCCTTACGTGATTGCAATAAAATGAATCTAAAGTAAAAAAAGTTTATAGTATTTTTCCATCAATAATTAGTTTTTTGAAGTATTTTCTCAATAATCTAAAACTCTACATATAAAGTAATGTTTTTAGAAGTGTTGATTCGGAATTGTTTTAGAAGTGATATTTGTCGTATTTACTCAACTATTATCGTCTACTCTAAAAGCAACGTTTATGTAGAAGAACTTATTTGCCAAAATTTCATCCTCTCCACCGAGAAAGATTTTCAGCTAAACTCCCAGTTAAAGATTAATTTTATCCAAGAGAATTAGTGGGGAAGAATCGCGGATAGACCCGTTACAAAGGTTTTCCTTCGCATTCGCAGCTATAAATAGAGCCTAAACCTTGGTATTCCATATTACCCGATTATTCCATAATACCCGACTCTCATGTATATTTATATGTTTATTCTTTGTCAAATTCATAACAAGTAAACATGTGCATTACGACTATAGAATAAATAGTTCTTCAAAAATAGTTTTACAAACATGCAAATACAGATAAAATTTAAATCCCTCAATTTATTCATTTAAATATTTTCGGAGTCTCAACGTCGAATGTTTTCTGAAGTCTCAAACACTGTTTTCGTTTTGTTAAAACGCATTCTATTTGGTCACAAACGATTGCAGAAACTGTCTCTTTCAAACAGGATTCCGAAATTATTATCAATGTCAACAAAGCATTTTCAAAATTTCTTCGAGGGATTTGACAACGAGGGAAAATCGATGCTACTTAAATTGATGAACATTGAATAACTGAAGTGGGTGGAAAACTGAATATTTGTACTGCTTTTGCGTTAGTGCATGTTTTCCTCGATAAGAGTGTGCCAACAAGAATAATACAATTAGTGAAATATTAACTCCCTTTCACTTAATAAAACTTTTTAGTGACACTTACAGAGACTAAAACAAATTTTAATGTGTGAATAAATAGTATTGCCTTTAATACTAATAATAGTATGGAACAAAAGGAATAAAAGATCAATCTCCAAAGAATGAATATAATTATAGAATGTGTAAATTCTATAATCATTTAACACATATATATTAAGAAGAAATGACTCACTCATTCATTACGAGATATCCGTAACTATTAACCTACAGACTTGAAATTTGGTAAGCATGTTTCTTTTGTTGAGAAGAGATCTGCTAAGAACAGGCTATGCGGAAATCGACGTACAAGAGGCATTATAGATGCAATTTCTCGTTTTTGAACTATTAGACCAACATACTTGAAATTTGTCAAGCATGTTTCCTTCGTTCAATAGAGATTAACTAAGAATGGATACTGTGGGAAATTCTCCCATGGGAGTTGTGGGAGGTTACGGGGATTTCTAAGAAATTACGTTTTTTAAATATTAGACCTTCAGACTTGGAATGTGGCAAACGAGTTTCTTTTGTGGAATAGAGATTCACTAACGTGTTTTGTGGAAATCAATTATCAAGGGATTTGATGTACATGAATAAAAATTATCGTTTTAAAACTATTAAAACGAAAGACTTTAAATCTGAGATGCATGGTTATTTTGTTGAGTAGTACTGGAACAAACAAAATGGTGCTTTTTGAAACAACAAAATAGAATTAAATTTTATAAATGATAAAGAAACGGGAAAAGTATAGTTTAATTAATATTTACTGATGTAAGCACCTAAACAGATAAAAATATTTCCAATAAATCACAAGGTGGAATCTAGGGTTGCCGTTCATAAGACACGATGTACTTTGTAGTAGGAGCATAGTAGGTCACTGGAGAAATTCTTATTTAGTCATGTTTCTTTTCACAGTGCGTTCAAAAATTGTATAATATTAATCATTTTATACTTAAAAATTTGTTCATGGAAAATATTGCTTAAGAATACATTTTTATAATATTCTGAATAAATTTTAACTTGTAATTAATGTAATTTTAAGTCGTATTTAACCAATCAGTATAGAATAGTGACCTTGAAACTTTCTCAACTCACGGAACCCGTGGACTAGAATATGTTTTTGTGTGGAACCTTATTCCACACGCACTTAGAATAATATATCTTAAAATAATATTTAAAATAGGTGGACACGTGATAGGTATTTTATGTAAGGGCAATTTAAAAAGTATTGCATTTATTATTTAAAAAATTTAATCTACTTTTAATATAATTTACTCATTAATAATATTAATTTGTGATCC